GAGGACTTCAGATGACAATTCGACATGGAAATCACGATGCTCATTGCACATGGCTATAAACTGGGTGCTGTTTTATACTATAACGAAAACATTTTACACCTTCGGTAGTCAGATCGATGAATAGCAACGATGGCTTATATCGAATGCAATTCAACACTTGCGGGCCTGAAAATCGTCGTAGTGAAATATCAACATATCAGCCTTGCCGGTGAACTAAGTTAACCGCTAAGACGTCTGATTATGATTCACACTGAATACAACGTTCACGGTGAGTTTGCTAGAAACTAGAATTTTTCGACGAATGTATACTCAGAAGTTTACGGAGGATGCAAAGGACAACAATCGGCGACAATGAGAGCGCTTCTTGAGTTCTCAACTGCGGATTTCGCGTCAAGTTTTATGAGCCCGTGATAGGTAACTTTATTCGGCCACTTATCAGAGGAAAACATCGTGATATAGTACAAAAGAAACCGCTTCCTGAGTAGCATAGACAGAGCCAATTACAATTTCGTTGTTGTACAGCAGGTGGTGTCATCTGGCGGAAGTTCCACTTTATTGCCATGACTGGAAGAACGGCAACGTAGACTTTCTTAACTAAAAATCAGATTCCTAATCCGGGAGGTTATTGGTTCAATTTTATACTTTAAGTAGGCTTCTTGTTTCCCCAATGATGGCAAGCTCTTCTTGTTCTCAACCCGTTCCGATTTAACTTATTGTTTTTGGTAGTTGCCCAGGCGACAGAGCGGCTACTTTTAGTCCTAGTAGTCCCTTAAAAATAATATGTCAACAATAGTTCATTCACGGTGGCTACAGGTCGAATACGCCTGGGCTTTCAAAACATGCAGTCTAGGGGATAAATCGGTTCGGCAGGCATACTGAGAAAGAGCAAGTGATGACTTTTCGAAGGCAGCTGCAAGGAGCACTACGAGCACGAAAGCGGAAATCTTAGTACCACGCATCTCACTATGAACAGGCGTATCCGGTATAAACGGAAACTCAAAAGTATTAGGAGGAGTTTGGCGGATTTGAATAATTCAAATGACCCAATTGTGAAAAATTCGTGACCTCGGTGGGATTTGAATCCATATCAGCAAGGAAGGCTTTAGTACAGCCAACGCTCTACCAATTGAACTATGAAAGCACGCCAAGGTTGTATTAAATCCTTCCTTGTTGATGCGGATTCGAATCCCACAAAGGCCACACATTTTTCACAATTTGGTAAAGTTAATTTAATACTCAAAAGAAGCGTATGCAAACCTGTTTTGCGGAATTTTCCGTTTTCTCCTTTTTCATTGCGATTTCTCCCGAGCGGATAAGACCTAAAACAGGGTTTTGTAAAAATAAAATAGTAAACTTCTGGAACAGTTGCAAATGTATCCTTTACTTTCATAGAGGATATGGTACCGTCATTCAAGTTTCGAGAACAGTGGTG